TTTCAGAAGGGAGCAGCTCACCTGCACAGCCTGGCTTTCCCGCATCACCCCTTTCGGCTTAAACTCCCTCCTGGCCCTCAAGTACGGAGGCAGAAAGGATGGATGAGGTTCTCGGTAGGCGTGCTCTCAACCCCACATGGCTGCCATGAGATGTATTGCGTGGCTTCGTACCTACAACATGCTACAGCTATGTGTTACCCCTTTTTCAGCAAAGGGAGCTGATCTACGCACCCATCCATTACAGAAACTCCTTCTCCTTCCCCTCTCACGATTTGGTTGCTAATACAATCTAAATAGTAAATAATATTTTAATCAGTTTTCACTTGATGAAGAGGCTCAACCTTTGCCCCGAAACATGCTGGAGTGTTTTTGAACAGCGTAATGAAAACTCCCTGAAGAACAAGGCAGTGGAAGAGCCAGTATTAAAAATGCCCTGAGAGTCAGTTAGCTTAACTTCTTTATTGATCTTCCCTGAAAAAGAAGCGCTAGAGCAGAGAGGTTAAGGGAAATAGATAATAAACACCAGAGACTTTTAACACGTGAAAACTGAGATTACGGTTTTAGGGAAGACATCTCAATAGAAGCGCAGTGCCAAACTCCCCAGGGTTTCCCAGCAGGGTAGCCGACGGGCATTAGTTACCATACAGTAAACCCACTCTTTTTGGCATTGAATCAGCAGGAGGTCAAAGCTCAGCTCCCACTTGTCTCTGCAGGAAGGGGCACATCAGGCGGCAACTAAAGCGGAGTTGAGGAGTTGTATGTGGGTGCCAGACTGGGCAGGCAGGGCTGGACTTCAGCTCTGGGCAGCTCTTGGGAGTTTTGGTCCTTTGGCAAGGCAGGCCAGTTAGCATCACACCTTCACCTTAACTTTGGTCTACGCTGGACCAGGACTGGCTTCCAATTTGACATCTGTTTCCAAATTGAAACCTTAAAATTCCTAAGAAAATTGCCCATCATGCTCTGCTGAGATACCAAACCATGCCAGTCTGAGGTCGGAGGAGCGTGCCACTGCCCAGGGGAAGCAGGCAAGGACAGACCCCAGCCCATACACTTTCCTGCTGCTGCTTGTCCTCTGCCTCTGGATCCCCAAGGCTTTGCTGAGGGAAGTGGTGGCATCTCTTTGCTTCAGAGAAGCTAGAAGGAATAATGGGAAATGCTTGGTTTGAATTGTCGAATCACAGAATGATTTGGGTTGGAAGGGACCTTAAAGATCATCTGGTTCCAACCCCCCTGCTATTGGCAGAGACACCTTCTACTAGACCACGTTGCTCAAAGCCCCATCCAACCTGGCCTTGAACACTTCCAGGGATGGGGCAGCCACAGCTTCTCTGGGCAACCTGTTCCAGTGCCTCACCACCCTCAGAGTGAAGAATCAAATTGGTACTGACTCAGACCTGCCCCTAGCATCAAGCCGAGCCTTTCATTATGTGTATTGTGCTCTTCTGGCCTCCACCCAGGGCTGGAACAGCATTTCTGAAACATCATGAACACCTGCAATGGGATTCCTAATACATGGCTGCGTGAAGCTATTTGGATGATTTGGATAAGGACACAGGATTTTGGCTCCTTGTTTGACTCCACTCAACAAACCTGGGAAAACCAGCTGATGGGTCATCTCTGCAAGCAAGCTGGCCTCCCCTCTCCGTTGCAGGACATCACGGGGAGCCTGTTCTCCCACCTCCTGCCCCTTTCTAAATGCAGGAAGCAAACAGCAGCATTTGTAGGCTGTCATCTCTACTTGCTTGGTTTCAAGAACAGCTTAAAGCCTTTTTTTTTCTCATGGAGGCTTTATCCTTTCTCTAGGAGGATCTTCGTTCCCAACAGCCACAACTGGAGCTAACAGTGGCAGGAAAAGTTGCTGCATCTCTTTTTGAACTGCACGGCTGCAGCTCTGCATTTTGAAGGTTTAGTACCTAGGGAATGAGAAATGTCAATATTACCATATAGTTTTCCTTGGGTAATATTGAAATCCTCCAGCTGTCAGGTTAATTTAAAGCCAAAAAGGAAATCAAGTTTAATCACAATTTTGTGATCTTTTTTGCCTCTCACAGGAAAAGATCCCATGGCTACGCTAAAAAGGTGTTAGATGTTTCAAGGACATTGATTCGTTAGAGAAAAACTTGCATTCCTTGATCTGAACATCTCCCTGAGCAAAGGAGGAGGGGGTGTCCCAGGCTCAGGAGCCAGGATCTGCATAAAATACATCAATTTTAAGTTTCTGCGTTAGACCAGTTTCTGTTTCGGTGCCATCCTTTCATTCTGGTGCGAGGCAAAAAAGAAACTGCTCTGGTTTTCTGGTGGCCTTTGGACAAGTTAAGGAGCACCCTTAGGAAATGCACCTTCTGAAATCACCTCCCAGCCACCCCAGCTCCTACGGGCCATGACCCAGCATAGAGCGAGCAGCACTGGCCTGGGAGTGCTGGAGCCCCTCCAGAGGCACCATCACCCATCATTCCCACCGTGGCTTCTCCCTTGCAACTGGTCTGGAGTCCTTGGGAACCAGCCCCAGGAAAAGACTTTCCATTCCCTGTTCCTGCTCAGGTATTTTGAAAGGGAGGAAGGCTGGAGGGACGAGGGGGTTTGAAACAGGGAAGGGGGAGAAGATGCTTGCCAGGGGAACAGCCAGAGGGAATTGCAAGGAGCTGTGAGATTCAGAGGTCCAAAGACCCCGACCATCATTACCAAGAGGAATCCAGCACGTCACCGCCTGGCAGAGGCAGGGTTATGAGTCTGCAGCGTGGAGAGCGAGGGAACAGAAAGGACCGGAGAGGACATTGATTTTCTTAGAGGAAAAAGTGAGCAAGAATGACCTCAATGGAAAAATATTTTCTCTCTCTCTTTCTGTCTCACAGACAAATATAGCCCTACACATTACACAAAGGCAGTGTTCAAGCATGCTTGGAATGAGCAACTTGGGAGGCAAATTGCTTCCACTTGTCCTCATCCTTGTTTTTTGACTTTTATTTCCTCTTTTCCCTTTGTCTTCTTCCCTCCAGCATGGCCTGTCCCCGACAGCTGCCACAAAGCCACCTCCAAGTGAGCCCCTGCCTCGAGAGGAGAGCGGCGTGCCCGGGGGGCAGCTGCCGGTGGCCGCAATGAGAACAACCACTGGGCTTCACAACATGACCTGAGAGGAAAGATGGGTTGAACTGGGGTTGTGCAGGTTAAAGAAGAAGGGAGAAATGTTTGGGTCGAATATTAGAGAGGTCTTTCCAGCAGTAAGGAAACGCTGGAGTAGGCTGCCTGGAGATCTTGCTGACACCTATCCCAGGGTGTCTTTAGGAACCAGTTCAGCAATATCTGTCCAGAAAGGCACAGGCAATCATCCCTCCTGACAGACTCATTGCTCAGTGACAGACCAGACGATTTTCCTGCTGCCCTATTGCTGTGAAGTTTTTTTCTCTCTCACTCTGAACATTACAGAACTTTTTTGCTTGGCTGCCAGGTGCCTTTAGCTGTTTCGATCGTCTCCTGTTTCCCCAGCCACGCTTTCCCGGAGGCTGCAGCTCCCATGGACCTGCCTTGCTCCAGTGGCTTCACGGCTGCTTGTCCTTGGTTTGCTGCCACGCAGGAGCCAGCTCGGAGGGGCCCCGCGACCCACACTGCCCCGCAGCCGGTGCCGACCCCAGCTCGCACCAATGCGCTATGGGGAGAGCAGCAGCAGAAACGCCCCGGGGGGCGATTTCTGAGCAAGGCTCCGGTCCTGTGCTTACCCCTGCTTGCGTTTCACTCGCAGCGCTGAAAACTTCAGCCTTCTGGTGAAACATGGAATATCTCAGAAAAAAATCTAAATGCAGAGGTGAGTGCTGCACACCCAGGACATCCATGGCTGCTCCAGGGGAAGGAGGGGCAAGCCCCAGGCTTGGGTGCAAAGAAGAAATCCTGCCTTGTGTTGCTAGCAATAACCAAAACCCGCCCTGGCCTCAGGGCAATTTGGCTCCATTCTCCTGGTGCTCCCTCAGGCTGTGAGCATCAGGGCAGGGCCTGTCCTTGAGCTGCACAGACACCCAACACCTATCATGCCAGGGGCATCATCTGGCTCATCCTCTTACTCAACAAGTAGTACATAATAGTAGCAATAGCAATAACAATAACAATAGCAAGAGCAATGCTTCCCTTTCAAATGCCAGAATAATCCCAATGTTATATTTATGAGGAAAAAAAATTAAGAAATCAAATATCTCCTCAAACCCAAACTGTGAGATACCTGGAAACTGGCACAGATATCCTTATTCCTAACCCTCAGCTCAGCCACTATGCAAAGGAGTCAGACACGGGTTACCCCTTGCCAAGAGGAAAGTGGGAGGAAGCAAAGCCAAAGGAGTTGTAGTCGCCCCCGTGGGCAATGCCGTGTCCAACACAGATGGTGAGGGCTAATGGTCTGGGGCAGTGCAGAGGTAAGAACAGCCTCATCTTCCACGGTCGAGGTTGCTGCCTGCTGTTACCCCAGGGTTGCGTTTCCCTCTTTTCTTGGACAAGCATGATGCCAAGAGTGTGGAAGAGGCCTCTCCTCCACAAAGCTAGTTGCGTCTGATTTCCAGGAAATCAATCAAATGGGATGAAACTACAGCAAACAGATCGACCTGTAAACAGAGAGACTTTTCTCAGTCTTTCATAAGCAAAAAAATAAAAACAACAATTACCTTCCCTAAAAAATAACAGCAAATGTCATCTGCCAGCACTGTTATTTCCACTCCCGGTGGGGAGGCAGATTGGTGCTGCTCCCAGATTTTCTGTGAATGGGCTGGGAAGTAAAGCAATTAGGCAGAAAAGAATAAACCATTCATCCAAACACAACAGCCAGCAGAAGAGCAGCTGTAAACAAGTCAAGCTTTCTTCCCTCCTTGCCATTTCGAGTGCTCAGTGGTTTTGCGAGAGGTGGCAAAGCTTTGAGGGCTGGGAGGTGGGGTATCCACCCAGCAGACACCCCCCCCCCCGGGCACGTTTTGTGCCCATTAAGAAGCATGAAGATGAGGTGGTATTTGCCCACCTAAGAAGTCATTTGTTCTTGCAAAATATTAAAAATTAAAATAAAAATACTAAAATTCCCCAAGCTTCATACAGAGTTTTTGCACTTGTAGCCCTCAAGAAGAGTCAGTCCAATACTGGTGGCTGGGGTCAAACTAGTTTGTAAATTGCCTTAGGTTTCCAGTCCTTGCTGGTGCAACACTTGCACCGCCTTAGCACCGTTAAGGCAGAGGCTAAGCTCTTCCTCACAATGCCTGGCAGAAAAGGACCTGGAGGTGTTGATTGACAGCTGCCTGAACATGAGCCAGCAGTGTGCTCAGGTGGCCAAGAAGGCCAATGGCTTGTATCAGGAATAGTGTGGCCAGCAGAACCAGGGAGGTGATAGTGCCCCTGTACTCGGCACTG